GCAAGGCGGTAAGGTTTTTATATAACTTCACATAAATGTTTATACTATATGTTAATTCGGGTGGCACTCCGGCAGCCCATGTTTATACTATGTTAACTCAGGTTTCCCAGCAGCGGCGAGCGATGGTAGAAAATTATGAAAAATTGCTCTAAAAAGCTGCTTGTCCGGCGGACAAGCTACCTGACAGATCTACTTGTTCTCCGTGGAAATGGACAAGTCAAGTACGGACAAACGGATAGCCTTTATTTCGAACACTGGAATGGTATCAGGAACCTTCTCAAAAGAAATTTTCGTTGGGATCGTTATGAAAGTTGCCACAAGATGGCGCGTACATTTGAATGTCTTAAGATTAAAGATGGAAGCTTCCATCGTACGTAGTATAGCAACAACTATTTGCAAGACAGAATAGGTAAGCACTCATCCATTTACCTACGCAAGCCTACAGGCTGAAATAGAGAGCTGCCACCTGTAACTAATTAACGCAGCTAAAAAATACACCATACTATCACCACCACATGCACTGGCAGTGGCCACTAGCAGTGGCATAATTAAGTTATATGTAACGCACTGACAGTACAGAATGCCATAGAAATTATACGATTTAAGGAGCATAAACCTTTCTCAAGCAAATTTAGCTTTTGAAATTTCACCGTGTTAATTGGACAGTTCCTGCTTTCCTACAGTTCCTGCCTTCCTACTTCAAAAGGCACAACGCACATCCTTCGGACATGGTTCGTAAATAAAATGTTTCAATAAAATAAAATGTTTTCCCTACCTACCTACCCTATTTTTTTTCGGCATGAAACGGTAACCACACCTATATTTTGTTTTGGCCTTACCCACGTATGCATACAAAGCCAGTGCATCCAGTATAGTATGTGTACTGCACTAGCACTGCCACGCTAGTGTAGTGCATGCATACGTATTATCCGATTATTATCACGATTATGATCAACAACTGCTTGTAAAATAATACTGTGCCATCCCTTCCGGTTATGGTAGTCTTCTGGGGTGTGAACTGGGGCAATGACGGGAAGGCGAGTGCCATCGATGGCACCTGCACATTGGGGAAATCCTCTTCGCTCGAATCCAGCGATCGTTTCCTTTAGACGATGACCAGATGGAAGTGAAACGAAACGTGGCAACAGCATCTCTCTAATTGCAAAACACACTTCTCTTGCAAGAACACACAATGTCGATATCGCAACTCCAAATAAAGTTGCGACGGTGCGATACTCTGACGGAGTTGCCAGCCACCAAATGACAACGCCCAACCTTCTCCTATAGTCAATCGGTCTCCTAAAATTCGTCGTCTGTTTTTCGATAGCTGGCCGTAAATGATCTGTGATATATTCAAACGTCGCCCTTCCCATTCTGAAATGTCGTCTCCATTCTTCTTCACTGAAATTCAGTACAATTTGCTCCCAAAACAATTGTCCATGCCATCTATCAAGCCTGCCTATCCGCCTATCCCGCAGACTGCCATAGCCAATGCTGCAGAAAGATGTGCGACGATCATCGCTCTCTGTCTAACGCTAAACCGGCGGCGTCCCTGAAGTCGGGCGTGTAGAAAATGGGCTCTTCTCCTCCGCAAATCCCCTCGGTGAGAGTCGTCCATAGCTAGCAGCAATTGCAGACAATGTCCAATGTTAGCTGTTAGCACCGCAAAGATCAACATAATTTCCATAGACTCCATTGCCAAACGATATCCAATTAAACGCAGATCGAGATAATATTACGAGAAGCATCTAGCATTCTAGCTACGGGTAACGGGTATCAGAATGGTTGAATTTCGCGCGGAACTGAATTCGAACTCGTACGTACGGTAAAAGCGTATTGATAAACAATTTTCGCGCTCGCGGGAAGCATAGCTGAGGGGGACGTGAGGTTACCATGACAATTACGCCGGTCTCGCACGCATCGCACGCAACTCGGGTGGTCGAGAACGGCAGTATGAAACGACTTATCCCGAGGGGGCTAAAGTCGTGCGCAGTATAATTTATAAAAGGGGTATTAATGCCTCTATGCCTCTATATGCAAGCTGCCTGATCAGGGAAAAAATTAAAATTTATTTTTCGAGGGCTACTTTTCAAGCTCGAGTGCAGGAAAATAGCACTCTAAAATTTGATTTGCATTGAACGCCCTTTTTGGCATTTCTGGGGCTCTTTTTGGCATTTCTGGGGCTAAATCGCCCCGAGCCCCCGTGAATTTTGTTCACTGTGCCTGATATGCGAGAGCTCTGCGAGCACAGGCACTTGAAGCGTTTCAATAAAATATAATTCTAACTAAATACGAAATCTATTTACTACCAAATTCTTAATGTTGCTATATACTCTCTTTCACCTATTATTGCCGACAGTTTCCTGTAAATTCCGTCCAACCATATACGCTGCCGGCGCCATTGCTTTCGCGGCGCGCCTGTTGCACGCTTACACTAGATATATACCAGTGCTCGAAATAAGAACAAAAATGTGGTTGTCCTGCGGACAACCCAGGCATCAAATCGGGTTGTCCGCAACAATTTCTGGTTGTCCCAAAAAAATATCCCCAAATCTCCTATTTTCAATCACATAATAATATGATCAGAAAACACCCAAAAACAGTGGTGTAGCCAGG